GGTGAGAGTGCATTTTCAAAGTATTGGCCTTATCTACAATCAGTTGTAGAATCTGTGCTTCTTGAAATGCAATGCACTGGATACAAATTGAATCCTGTTAAAAACTACCAGAAAAACATGTGCTCTGACCAGAATAAACCTCGAATGCTACTTAATGAGCTAATGACATAAAGAATCGATGAATAATTTTCTCTTGCCTGGGCTCCATCATCTGCGTGAAATTGTAGTTAAATGAAATCAGTTTGTCCAAAAGGAATGAATAACCTTCATCATTGGGTGTAAATAACGACAGGCAATTGTGACAGTCAATAATTGTGAATACTCGCAAAAAAAGTCTTCTTTAATTGGACAAAAGGGCTGAAAGACTGAAAATAGAAATGCTATGTGAGATATTATACTGCATTCAGGGCACACACTGTCATGGTTTTATTCTAAGATAATTTAAATATCATCAGACACAGCTGGCTGTGGGTGGTCGGACAGTTCTAACAGATATATCACAGCTATTAATTAAGTGCACTGGTTTAATTAAGCCCTTCCTTCTGAAATCCCTCATGGAATCTTCAGATAATTCTTATACAAATAAGCTATGATGTGCATTGCTTCTCTATGGCATATCATTCAGGATATCCCTGAATACTCTAAACAAACTGACTAGATAGATGGTCTGATTGAATTTGATTAAGAACCTGTCCATTCTTTCAGCTAATGAGCTCTTTATTTGACGAAATCAGAGAAATTTTATTTGATTGATTGCTGGGAGTCTATTTCTCAGAAACCGACAGGGAGGGGAAGGAATTAGGGCGTGAAGGCAGTGGATTCCTTCTTTTTTTCCGTTCTTTTCTCTTTCTCTATTCATTGATATTTATATTTTTTCATATAAGTAAATCAAAACTGAGTTACTGCTGTGATTCAAATGGCTGAAATCTTAATAGTGAGCAATTGTAATCGTCACCATGTGTTACCCTGAGGGGCTACCAAGGAGGTCTCTGGATTTTTTTTAAATGTACTTGAGAGTTCAGTGTTTGTTGCAAAAAATACTACGATGCAGCAGTAGTGGTAATTAATTTATTAAACTTGTTTTCAGCATCTTGCCTGGTACTGCACATAATTAAAAAGTACACACTTGTGACACTCAAAGTGTTTTTGTTAAAAATTAAATGCACTGCATTGCTTCCTTAGATAATGAACCCCTCACAAACTGTCGCTTATTTTTTTCCAGAATTTTTCAATCCACTTACAGAAAATTCAAAATACAAAATATCTACAAAGTAAGTAGGGAAATACAGGAACCTTGGTCACCCCAAATACGTATGTCATATCATTCTTGCAAACTGACCTCAAGTACTTTTTGAAAGTCAACTGTTGACGCTAGAGACCAACTCAAATTACCTGTTACTTGATGCGAGTTAACTCTATCAAAAGGGATACATTTCATACACATTATTTTACGTGAAAACTTATAAATTACCATAGAATAGGCACCATTGAGCACCCTGAACTCTGATTATGAAAAGGGGCCCAGGTTATCAGACTCACAATTGTATTTTCCTTGGACTATTGCCTAAGTGTGCTATGGCCAGAACCCCTTCTCAAAGCTATGGGGTCTTTCAAAGTATTCATTAGTGTGTAAAAAGTTTGTAGACTGGCTCTTTGCAAAGTGTGGTGTGTAAATACCACATTTCGGGATTAGTATTACATATTTTCGTCTTTGAATGGGTATACAAAAGGCAAATCGTAAGCAGATCAGCACCTCAGTACTGGTCACAAAGGGTCAGTCTTAGTGACCTTATGTCAAAGGGGCTCACAATGAAAAAGTAGCCCAGTCCACAGTATGACTTTCAAAGTGAAATTGCTTCAGTTTCATACATGACGTTTTAAGCAGGCATGGGTCTCTATTAAATAAACATCCCTACGTGAAAAATGTGGCTCAATCAGGCATAACAGCCCACGATTCCATGGCAAACAACCAAATATTTACTTATTTTTGACTGTGGAACTAAAGACCTTAAATTATGTAAATTTCAAGATGGGGGTTGGATTTAGGTCCCACAATACGCATTCTCTAGAGCAAGCCATGTAAAAGTCACGTACCTGAAACATTAAAGTGGTTAGAGAACAACAGGTACAAAAATGGGCTTAATACTCAACACAAACAAAAAAAATCAAAAAGTAAATATTTCCTTTTCAGATATAGCAGGCATGTTGTACAACTTGGACTGACCTATTTGACTTTTTCATACTGGGTGGTTGATGAGGTAATGCTATGTATCCTTGTCATTTGACAGTTATTGCGGGTAAAAACATGACTACACATTGTTAAATTGTGCCAAAACACCGACACCTGCCTCAACGTACACTATGTGACACAAAGACAAGTAATCTACCATAGCTCTATTACTAGTAAAGAAATGCACTGCCAGTTTTTGCCCGCATCCTTCAGAGGGTGTACTGGTCAATTATGGGAGGTAGATTTAAATTTATGGGGAGGGGAGTTATAACACTTAATTCAAAATTGAACAACTGGGTTAATGATCAATATTCTATCTGGATAATTTTTTTTTAATTTGATTTGTCTACATTTTATACTTGGGACATTTCCCATGTTTTCCTATTCAGTCTTTTCTCAAATATCAATCCAGATATATATATATATCAAAACATAATAGGACTTACTGACATACTGATATCAATACAAACGATAGGTGTAATCTTTAAACACATCACTAGGGAATAATGACAGAGACATTGTAATTGAATAGTCACAGCTGAGTGGACACAACATGGGGACCTCTGTATTCAATTTCATCCACTTTGCACAGCTAATGTACTTAGAGGGATAATAAATGATTTAAATTACAGCAGTAAGGTCACAAAATTCTATTAAGCTCTCCAGTGCGTCTGAAACAGAGGAGCAATGTAGAAACCTAAAACTTTACTGGAATACAACACTTATAATTCATTTAGGGACATAAGTCGTTTCACATACTGAATAGAAAGGAGTTCATAAAAGTGAACTTCTCTTCTTGCAACACAAATCAGACAAAAGACACCACAAAACATCTCATCTTCAATACTAAATGCCACCACAAACTGCGCTGTCCTTGTTGTTCAAAAAGGTCATGTTTGCCAATACGTTGCTAGGCAACATATAAACAGTTCTATCACCTTCACTATTGAGAAAATGACAGCATGCACATAGGTTGAGAAGTGGGAAGTGTTGTACAATCTGTTCAACAACATCTGCTCATTAATGGAAGTGTAACATCTTTTTCTATTTCCTTGATACACCTAGGTTGGAACAAGCTATGTAATTAGTATATCTTCGTAAATAAACAAGCTTTCAAACACCTAATATTGAACAACTCCACCTTATTAGAAATCCATACATAATCAGCAAACTATTCGGGCAAATGCCAACTATAAGCAAACTAATCCCCTTGCATAACAAGAGCCGGTCAACGATTAATAAAACAATACAGAATCCAGATCAAACATTGGTAATCAGTTTACAGAGCTGATTGATCTTTGATCTGCGCAGATCGCAAACCACTCTGCTCCATAGCCTCCAGGTTTAGATCACAGACATCCACATTACTTCTGGTGACAAGAACTCAAAGCATGTGTTCAAAAAGTATATATTAATATTTGTTCTATCCTATCCTCCCCTCTTGTCAATGTAGAGGTTTGATAAGGCTTTTCAAATACCTTTATCTTTTCACACCTAGTTACTGATATAATGTGGAGGCTTTGCTTTCAAGTCCCTTGAAGGATTTACAAGGTTCTGTCACATTTCCACATTTACAGACTTACAGACAACTGTGAAATAATCACTTAACTTTCTTATTATCTCTGATGTAAGAAAGTATGTGTTGACTGGGTATTATAACTTCACAGTGCATCTAAGAAATATCCCTGGGTCTTTTGTTGAAATGTGATATGTGTTTCTTGTTTGGAGGATTAAAATTTTGCAGTTTTAAATACAAATCCATTCCTTTGCTAAATAATGGCTGATATTATATCAGGATTTCTAACCACATTCAATTACAATTCAGGGTTCCCTTGATTCAATATTTAATGTGAAAGATGAGTTGAGGAGACAAACTTAACCTCAAGCTGAAACAAAAGTGTAGGCTGAGCTTTTCCCTCTTCTGGTTGAAAACAAGGTAAATACGGTTCAACTCCCCAAACAGCCAGGAATGCAGGTAAATGGGTGAGGTAAACACACAGTTCAAACACCCCTATCCTGGGATTAAGGGTCAAGCCTGCCTTTTTCAGCTACCTATTAAAGGTTATGAAACCCCTAACTTTAAACTGTGATTTACCAGCAGTTTGAGAGCAATCAAAGATAACAGTTCTATTCTTAAACTCCCCTTTTTTTGAATGGCGAAGTTTTAACTCAGCTAAAGCATGACCCTTTTTCTAGTCGATTTGCCTTTCTGATTCTCTTCTCTTGCCAAGGAATTTGTTCTACTGGTCAATAGAATTAAAGCAATGATATCTCAATGAGTCAAGTTTACTCAAGGGTTTTATAGTCTTCAGGGTCTTGCTGAGAGGGGGGTAGAATAACACAGTGGACATACACGCCTACAAGTCTGAATGCAGTAAGGATAATATAAATATTTATTTTATAATCTTAAATATCTCACCAAATCAAAGAAGAGATGAGTGAACTGTAAATAACTGTATAATGCGCAGTAACAAGGCAGCACAGTCAAGTGACTTCCTTCTGCATTGTAGTTCCCACATCAAATATTCATAAATTATTTAAAACTGCTCTTCTTTTGTTTGGATTAAATATAACTCATATATCCATAGCATCATTTAGCCTTTCTCATTAAAATAACAAATTTATATTATTTGTTCTCCAATTTACAATTGTTTTGACTCCAATACTGATTTGATTCAAAATAGGAAAAACATTTCTGGAATCATTCAAGCCAGTAAATGGGGAATTTATTGATCTGTTAATTATGAATTTAGAAAACAACATTACTTACCAGTTCTTGGGATGCATAGTCCGGCAGCTTGGAGTCCACAGACCAGTAGGCATAGTCAAAGACAAAGTGCTTCACTTTATCACGACTGTCTCCATACTCTGTCTTGTCAGCATCACCAAGCTGAAATTAAAGGCACAATTAACATAAATTCATGGGAAGAAACTGAAGAAATATTTGATTTCATCAAATTCTATCTAATATCAAGTTACAAGCAAATAATAATTTGCATCTCTATTGGCTTGGTATTCTTGGTATCCCCAACAGTAATCTTTATCAGTTATATAAGATTTATATAATTTCTAAGTCCATTTTATTCAAAATATTCCAACTTGATACAACAAATAAATGTTTGCTCTTCACACACTTGTCTCATAAAATATATCTTGTTTTACGTAATCTGTCTATTCCACAAAACACTAACAAATGGATATAAATTGCTACACATAAAACAACTTGGGTCAACAGTAATTTATCACCAGCAAGATGGAAAAGCTTTCAGCAACCTAAAGGGGGCATCATAAAATATACAAAATAAGGGTGAAACTACCGTTTTTTGAATTCTTGCAGCCTAAGTTATGTATTCGACCTTATGCAATTGTGTAAAATATCTATATATCCCTTTTTCATGAGACATTAAATGGTTTCTGTTGCAAATAAAATGTAACCACCTTATTCTGCTATAGAGTAATGAAAGCATTGATCAGATATATTGCTTTTGCTGTTGTTGAGGGGGTGCATGAAGTATATTAAGTTATGGTTATTGCTCTTTAAAACAGCGTCAAATGACATTACTCTAAGGCTTAGTCTGATTAACATATTTTATTTATTCAGAAAAATTCCTGGAAAAAAGACAGAGAAAACCTGATGATTAATTAGTATAATTTAATTTTGTTAGTTCATCAAACCTATAAGAAACATTTACAGATATTCTACTTTCACTTTTAATTCACTTTCCATTTAATCCTTTATGACCAGGGAAGCCATAGGAATGTTAACCAGTAAAATCTTTTCAAAAATCTATTAGTTTTTTTAAATATAGTTATCATCACATGGGGCTGGGGAGTGGACAGAAGCAGAGGAGGTGGTGGTGGTGGTGGGGGGGGGGGGGGGGGTCACCTCAACATTTCACCTGAAATTGAAAAATCCTGAAAAATTCACTGTAACCCTCACATACTCAAACTTCCCTTTTTTTCCCCAGAGCTCTTTCACCCTCTATCCTATCTGCTAACAATGATTGCTCCCATGGGGATATATTCAGTAAATCTCATCACTGGAGTCTGTTTACTCAACAGGACAAGAGCCTTTAAACCAATTAATAAATATGGTAAAAACTAGTAATAACATCAACTTTTCTGGTTCAATATCAACAATGATGTTCTGCAAATAGTACCAGAGCCAAATACAAGATAACTGGGCTATTTTAGGTTTGTTTGGTCTGTTTTTCAGTCTCCAGTCGGGTCAATACCGGAAACTTTAGATCAATGTTTTATAAGGTAGCATGCTGTCTTTGGTATGGGCATGAAGCAAACTCATGAACTTCTTTGTCTGAAGGCTTCAACTTCTGAGAGCATACTACAAATTGCAGTTGTTTGAACTTTGAAGTTTTTGTTCAGTGCGATGAGAAATGTATTTACCTCCTGCACACTTAACAAATAATAATCTGGAATTTCTATTCAGATTTGTATTTTGAGTACTATAATTTGCTCTAAACCCAAGAGGTTCAAGCACAAGTACAAATGAAAAGATTTCATAATTTTGATCTGACAGACAGATTTAAAAAGATGTCAATTTATTAGCATAGTCTTCTAAAGTAGCCCTTCAGATGTTCTCATTTCATCTTGAATTTTTTAACAAACTATTACAATGGTGAGTAGTGTATTTTCCTTTATTATCCATCATTGCATCCCTACAAGAATAAATAACGCTCATACAAGCAGGCATTTTTATAATAAATTTGTAAACCAATTTTTTCTCGCAACTTCTCAATCAACTTTGAAAAAAAAAAAAAAGTACACAGTGACATACAAATGGAGTTTGGTCACTAAGCGCAGACCAAATCAAAATCTATTCTCCAATGTTGGTTGATTTCACTTTCAAATCAAAATGTCCCCAGTTCCATTAACACCATCTATCTTACTGGACCTGGCCTGTACAAGCCCATCAATCAGGACCATCAGATCAATAGAGAAATAGAGTCTACAGGGCTAGACACATATATACTTTAAGAACTGAAGGTTGTTAAGATTATGATCAAATGCCATTAAAAGAACCAGAATCATGTTAACTGGTAATTTTCTATTTCCATGGAGGAAAATTCAAGGTAGGAAAATTGTAATTCATCATCCGAAAAACATAATGGATCAACTCTTTTGCTGTCTAACTTAATCAAAGACAGCTGAGGCAATAAATCTTTTCTTTCACCTCAGTGCTTTTTCTTTTTTTTCTGTTCAATGTTGTTGAATAAAGGAGAGGAGAGTATTGATCTGATCTTTTCTATGTAAAAGTTATCTTGGAAAATAGTGGAACTATTTCAACATTTTAAAGAGTTTGTACTAAATTTATTCAAGCTTTAGCCTTTCAAGTGAAAGTTCTACAATGTACATATTCCTTAAGTGAAAGGGATTGTTTTGTGTGAATTTCTCCTTTTCAGAAGATTTCAGCCTTATAAAATTGGTCTAAAATGGTATTCTTTAACTTTCAGCTCCTAGTCCCATCTGTTTTACTGCTTATTTGAAGGAATTTTTCCAGACATTCAGATTTCCACATTAGAGTGTCAAGTTTTTCCACATCTTGTAACCCAAAGAAAATAAATGAAAAACCTTCCAGTGCACAAGGCAGAAATCGAGACATGACTGCTTCTTTCAAAATAACGCTTTTAAAACATTTTCTTCCATGCAATTAGCCACAACACGGAAACTGCTTAATGTTTTTGAAAAGTTTTGTCACTGAACAAAACCTCTCTGGAACCATAGGTGAGACAAGTGATGCAATTCTACATGCCAGACTGCACACAATAAAGCTCTGAGCACTGATTTTCTTATAATATGGAGCTTATTCCAAGCGACAGATTTGTGCAAAAGGAACAGGAGACCAATTAAAGCTGTTCATTTCCGGCTTGTTGCAGCAGAGTTATCCCATTCCATGTTCTCATGTTCTCAAACAGTAGGTTATGTCAATTACATCTCCACCAGCCACAAGCTTTTTTTGGGAGGACAGTTCAGTGAATTGATTAGTCTAAAGCAATATCCTTAGGGGTAATGCTAGCAACTCCATAGCAACAGAACCTTAAATTTCTAGACCTTACTTTGAGCTTGTTATGCTACTTAAATGTCTTTTCCTGAAGACTTGAAATACTGCTCCAATTTTTGGTATGATTTCAAACACAGGTTGTTTTATAGCTCCTTTTTCCATTTTTTGGGGTCGATCCTGATTCTTGTTGACTTTACTTTTTTTTCCAATAATTTGTTCTCTATTTAGCACGTCAATAAGACATTTGTGGATATAAAATGTTATAAAATGACTTGCAGTAAAGAGACTTGTTGGCTCCGATTACGAAATTCTTTGTCATATTCCAGAAATAACATATCACCTGTTTCAGCTGCTGTATCTACCTATCCAGAGATGCCATGAAGTCATTGCTTCATCAATGACAAATGTATACAACTGAGGATGTTCAGATGCCTCAGATAGCAGTACAAGCATGTAAGCCCAGGTTACACTTTTTGACAATCTTGTGCGATCCAAGTTTGAAAGCTACTCAGGGTCAACTTAGCAAAACTATTTGTGATATATATAAATTATTCAACAAATTGCTGAAAAAAATAGTATACTTTAGTTGAATTCTTTCTTGGTAATCTCTATACACATGGAATCTTCAGTTCATGTCAGGTTTGCATTAATTCTATAAGTGTAAACGGGGTTCAAGTTTGTTCCAGGAGTTGAATAGAGTCTTCCTGCCTTGCAGACGTGCTTCCCCTGGTTTATACGATGTGGTTTCCTTCCCCTCCAGTTCCATATTGGGGGTACAACAATGACGTGTCAAAATCACCATTCATCTGGAAAATTACTTCAAGCTTAAATAATCCACTGGTATGGCTAGAGCCATTGTGTTCCAATAAATCTCCAACATTAAGTGGTCACCTGTTGGCTATTTCAAATGTAGAAGAAATGGTAGAAATCCAATAGAAAAATGTTAAAATAATATTTATTGGTACGTTTGTTTTGTGAAATGCCTTCCTTGGTACACCTGATGGTATTCAGTAAGCCTTATATCATTTCCTCACTCCTGGTCACTTCTTAATGGTCATTATCCTAGGCAGGACTTCAATATTTCATTGGCTTGTTGGCAGTTTCTTCTAAAATATTTCTGTCCTAATGTGCACACTTCTCAGGTCATCCATTGCAGCAGCAGAATTGAAACGTCAAACCAAAAAAAAAAAGCACTTGCCCTTGGTGACATTTAGTTGTGTTATACAAGTAAGCGGCACTTCCTGTCAAAGCTGAAGTTTTTTTTCCTTTGGTACATAGACTCAGTGTTTCACTTTTTACCACATAATATTCATAAAAATAATCCATAATAAATATGGCTGTCCACAGATAATTGATGGTTGATAACATAAAAAATCCACAATGAAATCCAGTGTGTTACTGGGGATAAATCCTGTTTCCTCAATGAACAGTGAATGCTGCCTTTATTTACAGAATATTACACTGTGTGTGTGTGTGTGTGTGTGTGTGAGAGAGAGAGAGAGAGAGAGAGAGAGAGAGAGAGAGAGAGAGAGAGAGAGGGGGGGGGGCTGCAAGGCTTTTTAGTAGCAAGAAAAAGCACAAACATACCCAGTGTACAGAGTATAAGTTAGTGTCATAAGGTCATGTTATCTATGAGGGGAGCACCTGTCACTGATAGGGAGATACCACTATGGTGACTTAACCATGCACATGCTCTGATGTATTAGTACTAGTAAAATACTAGTGCTAGAACATTTACATCGTACGGCTATTAAAGAGTGAGGCTTTAAACAAGATGAGTCTTCTTGCAGTACTACTAGTTACAACAACCATACCTTCACATTGTAAATGCTAACAGTATCTCTCTTCATTCCAATAATAAACTTGGCCTTGGCATCTATTTCCCTGAAAAAGACATCAATATATTACCGAGAGACAAGCAAGTTAACGTCATACACCTTTTGAACTCGCGCTACTGTTTTAAACAGACCGCGCCATATTCAACAACGTACGTCAACAAACCTAGACTAGAGTCTGTTAAGAAGCGTGTTTACATGAAATTGACTGGTGAAATCTACTTACTTTTTGGTCATAGGCCTGACCCTTACGGCCACTTTTACGTTTGACATAGTTTCTGTACTTTCTAGCCGTTTTCCATCTTCATCTTAAAGGATTTGTAAGCCTCCTAACTATAAGCGTATACTCCATTGTAAAGTCACACACTTAATGTGTGCGGATTCCCCGGGTTAGTCCATTTCGGCAGCTGAAAGGGGAGAAAAGGTGGCGCCGAAAAATGTGCAGTGTGAATAGAAACATTAGTTTTGGACTATTAGCATCTTAATTCTTAGTAAATTATTGACATAGTAATCAATGCATGGATTCTTTCTCCATAGTTTTCTCGAGTTACGATCGAATTTGATCGATCAATGACTTTGCCGTGCTTGCCTGTGAACTTGACCGCTCCTGGAGGAAGATCAAATTTTGACAGCGAGATATAGTAACAGTAGTGGAGGCGAGGGAACTTCTACAAGTTCACAAGAAGGTGTAGGAGCGAAAAAAAAAACTTGGATCTGTTTTCTATGAGGGGCGGAGATATATCCTGTAGAGTGGTGTACTGTCAGCATGCTATTCTTAGAGCACGAGTTACGATGTACGTTACGATGTATTACTTTACTGTGAGAGAATAAGCATTGGTGCTGTCACCTAACGGTCGCTGTCGAAGTTACGTCAACAATTTGTCCAGTTCTTCCACACTTATCAGCTGCGAAATTAGTACATGCCCCTTAAAACCACATAAGATACTGTAACGCTCGAAATGAAAAACAATTAAAAAAGATGTCAACATGCATATATTTTATTTCATAATATCTTCGGGTTAGGAACCGGTTTAATTATTGGATCCTACTTAGGTTTGGATTTCACAGGTGTTTTTACAATCTCAAAGAACCTCCCCATAAATCTAACAAGTTAAAGAGGCAATGTAATAAAGTCATAAATACTGAACAGATAAAATGACAGCTTATGATATTGAAAAATATGTACTTCTCATGACATGGCATATTAAATATGAAGTATATAACATATTTTCTACGTTAGACCAATTAAAGAACCAATAGACACAAATGAATAAGAATGGAAAAATGAAGTGCAACTTGTAATGACCTGCACTGACTATCATCCACAACTTGAAAAGATACTTTTTTAACTGGTCCACTGGACCCTAAAAAAAGAAAATAAATCTCCTGGAATGCCTGCAGACTTTGCTGCCACCTATAAGTATGTTGCTCAAGCAACAGCATCTACAACATACATCACATGAAGAATTATAAAATCACTCAAGGGCTGAATAAAATCTATCAGCATTCATTTCTAACCCAGTCAATATTAAAACCGCCTTGTAACATTCATGTAGTGATACAATAATTTATTATAAAGAAGATATATTTGCATAAAAAGCCACAACAAACAATATTGTTTTCAAAATCATTGGAATGCAATTACACGCCACAAAAATGACAGAAAACTATACTGTTGAATAAAAAAGAAATATGTGTTTTAGAAATTGATATAAAGTTTGAAATCATTTCAGCCCAGACCCCACATTTGGTTTTAGTGAGCAAGTGAATAACATTAGAGAATGAGAATTTTTTTTAAACAATTAATAATTTTAACACTAACAGCAGAAAACTTGGATGCCATTTCTCCATCATTGCACAATGGAAGCAGAGTAACAAATCTTAATATCAACAAACTTATTTGTACTGATAGAAGCTTGTTTTAAACTCATCAAATATTACTCAGGTTATTTCTTTCTTTCAGTCTGGGGGTTAAGTTCATGGAGAAAACGTACTCAAGCCAGAGGCCAATCTCAGTCAGGTCAGGTACAACTTCTTCAAAATGGTTTAAAATTTCACTCCCAAACAATTTTTTACACATAGATTTTTTTCTTTTACTCCCAAACCACATTATTTATACCTTTGTGCATGGACCACATTTGATTTTCAACATAAACCTATACTCTCAGGCTTGTGTGCCTACCCTTCCCAAGACTGCCCTAGCCCAGCTCCTCTCCTAAGTGAGACAGAGAACAATTTATCTCAATTTGCACTCAAGAACTTCACATGAACAGTGCATTTAACAGAACTGCTGTAGGATAGAGTCATTTTCATTCTGGAGGAGATAAAATACAGATACTATCACTGAATTGTGATAAATTGTGTTGTAAGCTTCACTAACACAATGAAATCACAACTGTTACTTGACTGATTGCATTTGTGTTTTAAACATTAATGTCCCAATTTAAAATACAAGGTATTGATAAAATATACTAAGGTATTAATAATAAATGTCTATGTATATTATTTCAAACATTCTTCACAGATATATTATGTACCTTTGCATAAAACAGAAACTTGGTGGAGTTCTTTAAATGTTTATGGTGTACCCTTCATTAAAATCAAAATTTCATTAAATTCAATTTAGTAAACACTTACAAATCTCTACCCAATAAAATGTAAAATTGTTGGAATTCTTGAAACATTATGCAATTGTGGAATCTTAAAAAATAATTACAAACAAAATCACCTCCACATGTACTATTCAAACGATACCTACATAATGGCATTCAAAGAGATTTACACTCATTCTTCTGATTTCATATCTATCTACCCTTGCCAGATTGCACTTTAAAAACAGTAAGACAATAACTTACCAGTTATCTTAAATATCAAGATGTCCCCGCAGTTAATAAACATCACAATTGTAAAGCATTTACTACTGAATACATTTTAAACATTTACATTGTAAACAAGTATGTTATTATCAGATAGCAGAACTACAATAATGTGAACTCTAAAAGAACTGCATTCCTTTTCACTTTGCAACTTGCTCAATACATAGTTGACTAGTTATCCTAGCTAGAGAATATTTTTTAAATTAAACAATGAAGTATATTTCTTCAATTGATTAAAATATTATTCATAAAAAAGAAGAACCATTAAATAATTTAGATTAGTAAAAGAAAAGATATTATAAACTTAAATGTAACTTGACTTTCTTAATACCAAATAAAACTTTGTATAAAAGAAATTAAATGCCTTGTTATGTTTTACAACTACATGTATATAATCTCTTATTAACAATACAGATGTCGAACCATCACCTTATTTTGCACAGTTACATTGGGGATTTTGATTCCAAACACACCCTTCCAGTTTCCTACTTGTGCCTTGTACATAATTTGATGATAATACATTTAATAAATGTTGGCACAGCCAAATCACAAATATTCCAAAAAGTGAAAACATTCTTAGAAAGTCTGTTGCTGTACTGAATGTCAACAATAAGATGACTACACTGTCTAAAGAGAGTCTCAGATCTACACTGTCTAAAGAGAGTCTCAGATTTTGCTGATTGTTTCACCTTTTTCTCCTTATTCCATGTTATTCCACCCAGACCTTATCTAAAACCAGATAAAAGCCATAAAGTGAAAAACTGGTACCTACCATCCATTACATAAAATATTTTTAACCAGATTGCCATATCAGACTAAAAAGAAGACTAAACCCACAGATGTGAAATCTGCCTCCTTGAGTGCCAAGACTACTTAAAAAGATGTCAGGAGAGAGAGTCACAGTCCCTGCTCGGATCAAGGCTCCAGTAACACGTGCCACCTGCAAACCGTCTCTCCTCGGCTCTCCCTCATGTCGTTCCAATGTGAGATTTCCTCCTCTCCGCTGCTGTTCATACCTTAAAATACAAGTAACATGGTTTATAACTTGACCAAAAAAAGGTTTTTCAAACATAAAAATATTAATTGATGCTACAGGTAGGGCCATTCTATATCCGTCTTCCATTTGTGACATCTACTTTTTTTTCACAAAACTTCATCTTTTGATATATCATGAAAAATATAAAATTTGATAATAATAATAATAATAATAATAATAATAATAATAATAATAATCTGTGGCTTAATTTCTTTTAATCATTTATGCAAGCGAGATGATAGAGTTTGGATTCCACATCAAGACAAGTTCCCCAATGAGGCATCCCATTTACCAATGTACCACTAGCACATTGCAACCCTTAACCAAACCACATTGAAATAAAGTGTATTTTCAACAATGAAAGTATATATAAAGTAAATTTCCATGGAATAAAATAGAGAAAAGATTCAAGTCAAATCAAGCCTCTTTCACCACACCAAGTATATTCAGAGCTGAAGCCCAATTTATATTTCCAAAAAATACTCACAACTATCATTCATGGGACCTTAAAATATCAGAACTTTGTGTAAAAGCAACGTACAATATCACTGATCTCTTTAGAATGGGCTTAGCCAAGGATATTCTAACAATAAAAAATGCATACATCCTTATTCATAAACAGATTACAATATCACTCATTCCAATGAGGATCACACCATGCGTCAATAATTTTATCACCTGTTAGACATTAAGATGCTATTAATACCTTCTGACACAAAAATATCTCTATGAATCTTACCCAGTGAAAACCATCCAATCATTTCTTTCCTTTTCATGCTCCTCTTATTGTACACTGACACCATTAATGTCACATCAGGAAGCTGAAACAATGCCACTTGAAACATAAATGTCTCCTTAAATAACGGATTAGGCTGCCCTCTACGAATTGACGTCTTTGCTCTTGTGATTTCCTGTCCATTTGGAGACATCAGTGTAAGTTTGACATAAGTATCTGAAATAAGACAATTACAGTTCCCAAAATAAGAGAGAATAGCAGTGTTGTGCTATATGACAAACGTAATTTTGCCTTAGAGTGTATTTTTTAATGAAATCCTTTTTTTACAACACTGTGCCATGTAATTGTGGTAACAGATTTTACAGACACAAGTACAGGCAAAAGAGACGGCAATGAGAAAAAGCTTAAAAAGAAGACGAAACAAGATAAAATATCATGATCACTACTGATAGAAATTAAAATGAAAAAAAAAAAATAGTTAAAACCTAAAAAATAAGTATTTGCTGTTGACATTTGGATTTCTAATATGTCCAGCAAAATGTTTATACCTTTTGCTTCACTGACCTACAGTTGTCTTGGCTATGCTTAAAGGGATAATAACTCTTCATATGAAATCTTTATTTCACAATAAAAACATTGTGAGTGACTCATAAAAATATAATATATTCTGTTTTCCCACAAAAACGGCTGTTATAGCTATTATTCTGATATCTGAACTTGTCTTTAGACCACGTGACCTCCATTGATGGCTATACTCTGTTAAAATCTCTTAAGAGATTTTAACAAAAAAACCAAACTTTTTAGAAAAAAACCAGGGACTAGCTTTGAATGTAAAAATGGATTCATTAACCATTGGTTAGTATGGGAAAATTGTTGTTGACTCCAGGAAAATTCATTTTTTGGCCGAAACGAAGAGTTATTATCCCTTTAAGAGACTTTAGTTATAGTACTGTGAGGTCATTGCAAAATGATTGTCAAGAAGGCACTAACTTTTTTTTTTTTTTGGATTAGTCAGTCAATCTCACCTGGAGCTCTGTTCATGGCCATGTTTCTGAAGTTGCTTCCCTTGATCACCTCCACAGACAGCCGTCCCGTGGTGCCATTGTAAGCCAATCCCAGCAGCAGCTCAGGCATGCCGCCATGCTGCATGGATTGCGTGGACGACGCGCTGTCACTGCGCGACAGACTGGACATATCAAACCCAGACTCACCATGCTGAAAAAAATTTATAGTGATGTTTAATTTTTGAAAAATAGTATGTCCTCACGTGTTCAAATAATTATTCTGAGAAATTGATGTTCCTGCAATTTGCAAACACTAGTTATAAAATTACAAAATGGTGGAAGCCATTTAAAACAAAAATTTAGATTCCAAATTATCTGAGGAATTATTTCATTAGGCACACTTTGAGCTCAACTGCACAATAAACTTATGTTATTTCATTCCAACAGCCATAACCACATGGGTTTCAAAATCTTTCTGTGCAAAGCATACAGCTTTTGAATTTGTTGTTCAAGGTCCCATACAAGGGAAACAAAGATGCAAAACTGATCTAGAAAGGTTCAATATGCAAAGACCTTAAAAGTGTTATGGCCCTTAAATATTCTCTAAAATCACGCCAATAGAAGCAATCCATTATCTAATTCAACACTGGACCCCATCCAGCTTCTATGCAATTTTTATGACAAATTATCTGCAAGATCTAGTACGGAGTCTTATAAGCCACTCACGCTGAGATTACTCCTCGGCTCCAAGTTGACCCAGTGTGTGTTCTCTCCTTCCAGGCTGAGTGAGGCAAACCCTATGATACACTCCCCTATCATCCTCTCTCTCCTCATCCTTTCTGTTCCATACAGACGGATACGAACACCCATGTCATTCACCTCCTCTGCAATATACAGAACAAAGGACTTAGGTTAATAAGGATTACTGTTGAGCAGTAGAGGTTTTTGATATGAAGGAGCAAAATGTTTCAGGCAAATAAGGAAATGAGTGTTCTGTGACTCTTTTTTTCTACTTATCAACTGATACTTTGATTAAATGAGTGATGGCATCCGGTTAAAGAGTTGCAGTATATTAATCAATATTTGGCATATTATGGCATGTCTATCTCATAACATTGCAGTAAAATGTGAAGTCTTTTAAAAATGTGATAATCTAATGCTTTCCTAGTTTAAGTTTACAAGGCAATGCACTATTTGTTTGTCTATTTGTGTTTGTTTACTTGTGAATTTTATTCATCTTTTATTTATTTATACTGACAATAAACAGTTTTCTTTTAAGTAATTTTGAAAAGAAAAAAATAATATCATCATGGATTTGATGTATAGCATTTAGAGTCGATAAATTTGAGTAGCTCTGATTCAAACAGAAATAACAACTTTTTACCTGGAGCAATCTTGGTGAATAGAAACTCTTCCTGAAATATTGGATCCTCTCCTGTCTTTACTCTAGTTTTGTGTCTCTGTTTCTTGCTAGGCAGCAGCAGTAGTCTCACTTGTGTGTGGTTGGCTCCTCCCCTCTCTCTGGTCGGAATGTCTTTGGCTTGGATGATTCCAACGTTCATCCTTTGTTTGGCAGCATCGTAGCTAAATGACACTTCTATACTCCCACATTTAGATATAAGAGGAGGCTCAGGTTGAAGAATGTCACTTACATCAAAGAGATTCTCCTGTTAAAAAGGCAAGATTAAATGAATATTCTTATACTGAATTTCCAGAAAGATTACCCATCCGTAAAACTAACTTTCAATTTCATTTATTAAAACTGAAAGTTTATTAATAACACAAATTATATTCAATTTAACAATTTCATCAAATTCATGCTTCTCTGAGCAAAACTTGAAAACCCTGCTTATTTACATAGGCATTTCTTGAGAGCTTTCACAAACTTTGTTAAACAATGGACAATTATCTAAATTGAACAATCGAAAAAAATCAATTCAAAAATCTTCCTCTGTAGAACTAAAAAACGCAAATGGCCCTCGCTGCCAGTTTCAATACCCTCCATTTCATTGAACGGCGACAGACATAAAACGATTAGTTTCACAAGGAAGTGAATTTGCCCTGGAACTTAGGCAGTTCTTGGAAAAAAATCTCTTGAGGGGCAGTTGTGATCATGTTAAGAATTATTGATTGAGTTCTTCTTCCTCACTTACATCCGATGCTGCCCCAGGAGGCCTGGTATCACTCTGGGCGCCTTTAGTGGGGCTTCCCTCAAAGCCAGCATTGTCATAGCCTGGCATGTCACCTAGAAAAAGAAATAAAATATTTAAAAAAACAGAATGCATTATTTATATAACAGCATATGTTATGTGAAAGTCAATCACTGTGGAGTATTTTCATGTGCTTGTGTACATGATATTAAATAGCAGACATCTGAAAGAAAGTAGACAAAATCTATAAAATTATAATCTGATAGTGTCATTTTTGTCCTGGTTCTCCTTAAAATACATGATCAATAAAAGGACAATGAACTGCCGATGTGCAGCACCAAAAATCATTTTTTATCGCTGTTGTGCAACAACAAAATCGAATTACTGTCTGGCTGGCTGCACAATTAAGCCTAATAATTGCTTCAGTTTCACCAAGCAGAGCAAATTAATGACCCAAATGAAAAACATCCAACAGGAATCAAACTGGTTCTAATACCCATGGGGTCAAAAACACAGATAATAATATAACATGTGCTGAGCAAACAGAAAATTTACTTTCTCGGGGGGAGGGGGGGGGGAGATATTCAAAACTATACAGGCCTCTGAAGCTCACAAGGCAAACAAAAAAGCATTTAATTTCAACTGCAGCAAAATCTTGAACTTTATAGTCTTCTGGGATGATGTATTGAAATAGTCTATTCCAGCTGACAAGACAAACTGAAATGCAAAATCACACTCACTTAACCTTAACATAATGATAAAATATTTTTTTTAATGAGGTGTCCAAAATTTGTGGGTAATTCCCATACATACCCCTGTCTTCATGGTGGGGTGATGCTGCTGTAGAACTCAGGTCACTCTCACTCTTGTGGCTAGGATTATGGCCATCCCCTTGGTCATTCAGTGATATCAAGTCTTTTTCCACAACCTTCTTTTCCTCTTCTGAGCGGTGACCATTGTCTGACAGAGAGTAAAATATTACGGTAATGACTTGATCTTTTCAATGGTAGAAATTATGAACTTTACAGATACTGTATTTTTTAAGTCTTAATTTCTTAAAATAAGAGCAATCATATGGAGTGGTGGCAACAAAATTGAAAAGCAGACTACCTTTTAGTTCTATGCATTAAAAGCAACACAAATGTTATAAAAAATATAATTTTTATGGTTTTAAAATGATGTATCTGAAAGTTTTCAGCCAGACAATTTTCATCCATTGAAAAGATTGAGTCATTACAGTATACAAATGACAATCTTTGAACAGTTGTCTTGTTTAACCTGTCAGACAAGATTCAGTATTTACCATGTGTTTCAATAAGATTTTATAATAATGCACAACAGATTCCAATTTTCATCCTACCAATACTGTCAATCTATTATTTTTTCATTTTAGAAAGAACCACATATATGATGACTAAATAGGAGTAGGCGACAGAATTTTTTATCTTTAAAATTACCTACAGATACAATCAGCATTGGCTGACCTTTAAAGTAGTAACGACAACAGTGAAATCTATGCTACAGACTGAGCTAAAATCTTCTCACTTTCCTGAATTCCTCATATTTTCTCTTATGTAAGGTAATTTAGATCCAACAACACCCTTGATGTTCTTTCACACATAGCAAAGGAGGAAATCCCTTCAAAAGATTTTTTTATAAATCTCAATATCTGATATAGACAATGCTGTTTGAAGGAAGGAGGGAGATGAAATGGCCCTGGTTACACCAGTCAGTCTGCTCTTGTTATACTTTTAAGCCTACTGGTTAAATTTGAAATCCATACATAATGGGAAAATCAATCTAAAACAACTAGTACCATTTACACCGGTTCTTAGAAAAATTACATTTCCTACTACCCTGACAGCAAATCTGATGATCAATGGAAAGCATCCAAGATGGCCTAAAATGAGGCTGTCTGCACTGAGTGATGTCATACAAAAATAGGAAATGTGAAATTTCATGAGTTGGGTTAACTTTACAGTGATAAGGCTGAAACTATATTCCCCATGAATGTCATCTTAAAAAGCAATACAAAAGTGACACACCATAAATCATTTTGGTGAGTCTGTACTGACGTGCAAAAATAGACTGTAATTCAATAATACTGGAGAGAAAACAACCAGAAAAATATCCATGGATATAAATTCTGTCAGACTTTGCAGCCATTTTACACTTGCTAGTGTGCAACTAGCAAGTGGCACAGACATGTACAAAGGATGAGAAAAGAAAACAGGGTGAAAAGAGCAACAGAGTTAGAGGTGGAGAGAAGGAGGCCTCCAGGTAGATCAAGGTTGACTTGGAGGGAGGTAGTGAATGCAGAAAGGAGACAGCTGCAAGCTGAAGATACAGAGCCTAGAAATAGACAAGAATGGAAGAAGGTCATATGTAGAAAAAGGTCCATGCCTAAACATACAGGACTGAAGAGCTGATATACAGATGATCAGATGGTGTTGATGATGATGAGACCACAGGCTAACATTAAAAAGGAACCAAATGTTACCTTTTGATTTCCCTACTTTACTGTGGACACTTGATGACCTCTGTAGCCCCATCTGGTATCTACGCAACACCTCGTCATCACTGTCACTTGATGTGTCATTTTCATATGCATAGGCAGTACCTGGAACAAATTTGATATTTAGAATATCTGATTTTTAATTAATTGAAAATTGAAACTTCCTAAAAAAATTAAAAGAGATTAACAAAAAAATGCATATATTTAACACATTAAAATCAAATTATATATACTAAAATCCACACATCAAAAAGTAAGGAAAGCTTTTTCCATAGCAACAGATGAACAGATGTTTTATTAGCTGGGGATGATGTTTCAACATATCATGGATCCTATCACAGAGCACCACTCCATAGGACAAAAAGCAGGAATGACACTTCAGCCAATGTATGACTCAAACTGATATTTTAATCTTTTTTTTTCTTTAAACAAAACATAAATATCATTAATCAACAAAATGCAGTTTGCTTAGACTTGCCTTTTTCTCAAAAATCATTTAATAAATTGATAAATAGCCTACTTAAAAATTACACATTGCCCTGACATGAAGAATCTACCTTGAACAAAAATAAGTAGGTTTAAAGAAGGAGGTTTAAGTAAAATCAGTAAAACACTGTCCTAATCTTAATAGCATAAATAACTCACCTGATCTTCTGTTCCACATTTTTTCACAATTAATGTAAAAAAAAATGCAATATTTCCAAAAACACCGTATGTCTTAGTAAACTTCACCCAGCAAATAACACTCTTACAAGGGCAGATAGCCTAGCATCACTTGGGAGTCATCATAATAATAAATCTCAAAAATGGCTACCCAGAGCCATCCTGTTAGGGGAAAATTTATGACTTCTTCCAGACATTCCTGATCCAGCCCTTCCAGAGTTGACCAGTACCTGGACTTAGCGTAAACTAACTGGACAGGTGACTATACCCCTGGTGACAGACATTACATCAGACTATTTGTTTGAGAAATGACAAGAAGCTTTCCTCTTCATAGTAACACTTCACAAATTGGTCACCAGTCCTGATTCCAGACTGGTTTTAAAAAGCAGACGAGAGTTATCTCAAGCGGGCTCTAAAAACTAAATAAGATGATGAGGCATATCTGGAATTGAAGGCAGCTTAGGTCTAACTGACAAAAGGTAAGACAACTTTTAGGGACCATTCACATGCAAAATCTATTTTCTAAAAATCTATTTTCTATTCGCGATATCTTGTGATCACAGTCTGTGTCCTGAATACCCCGCAGAGTAATTACTGCCAGCGCGAGCCAGTTACTTCCAAAGCTGTAATTAATTCTCGGCTGCGCTCGGAGTAATCACAAGATACCGTGAATAGAAAATAGATTTTTAGAAAATATATTTTTCATGTGAACGGAGTCTTAGTCTATCTTGGTCCAATCTAAGAGTCTTATATTTCTTTAAAATGTTTTAATCTTGTTTTAAGCTAATAATAGAAACAAGTCAGCTTAAGCTGATGTATAGACAGTCAACTTTTAATTTTGTAACCCTATACAGTTCTTGGGCCTTGACAACCAAGCCGAAACATTTCCTGAAAAGGCAGATCCAAAATTATAGTAAAATATACCAAAACAGCAAACATAATTTTAGTTTGATTTTTGAACCAGTCCTTTGACCTATGAATAATTCATGTAAGTTTTAGACATAGTTTCCTTACTTGGTGTTAATACTGACGTTACACAAAATCTTTTTTTTTTTTTTTTTTTGTCAATTTCAATGCGATGACATCATGTCAACAGATGCTAGTGATGGATAGATGTAGACACAAAGTACCTGTCCATAAAAAATGTGAAGGTTCAACATGAGCAAAAGACAAGACAATGCCATGTTTTAATTCACATATAAAATGCTTCAAAAATCTTAATTCTAATCAGCATCTGATTTTTAACAATACAAATTCTGCAAACCAAGGCAGATGCAGGTTGAGCGTGACCCTTCATCTTATTGACTTTTCTTACATAAAAGGCATGAATACCATTAGTTTTTTCTTCTCCATTTTCTCCTGTGTTTGAAGTCTCCCTTTGCTCTTTTTCTTTAGAATCTTCCTTTGTGTTCTCAGTGTTCTGATTGCCCACAGTTCTTGGTTTGTGAGGTTTCATGCAAAATGCAGGGAAGAAACAGCAGGTGGAACAAGATGAGATGGTTCCACAGATTCCTTTGATCACTGACATCCTTCAAGTCAATGCCTTCATGTCAAAAAAATTAACGAAAATCATCCTGGGCCAAAAATATTTCTCCAGAAGTTGTCCATGTCTCCACGTCATACCTGTCTGCTCACATAGGTCTTCATTAAAATATCAAGGCATTAGGCACATAATGTCCAATGGTCCACTAAATCCTTTCACCTTTCTTTGTAGATACCGTCTACTAAAGGCAACTCCTACCTGTAACTCTCTTTAATATGTTTAATCGGAGATATATTCACAGTTATAGATTTCTCCTTTCTGCAAAAAAATCTCTTTTTATTCAATTATTTAACTAGTCAGTACTGTAGTATCTGTTGTATGACGTTAATCAAATAACGTCATGGTTTGGCTTCCATCTTCAAATGCTATCTTTTTTTTTTTGGCATTCCATGTCCTTTGGGATACTCAGGTCAACTCAGCTGGTCTTTTTTTGGAGTATGGATTTTGTTTCTGCACCCCCTTCCACATTTAAAGTCCACAAAGGTCCTGAGGAGGAAGTCAATCAGTCACGTTGATGGTCGTATCTTTGGTGGTTATAACTCCTGAGTCCCTCAGAGTCTCTCCTGGCTGACTACAGATATCAACCGTTTCCCAAGACAATAAAAATTATAGGTTTACATATGAAAATATGGTGAGATACACTGACTTAATAGATACTGGACGTTATCTGCAGCCAGTCAATATCCAGTGGTGATTAAGCAAATGGACAGAATTTGTGGTCCAAGGAACATCAGTCACATTACCTGTGTGAAGTGAAATCTTTGAAATTTAAATCTAGCCACAAACTGTGTGTAGTAAAATCTTTGAAATTGAAGTCAAGTACTCACAAAGAGTTCTGTCTGCAGAAAATGGGTTACTGTTGGCTATAGCAGTCAATAAAAAAAGAGCCCTCATTTAAATCAGGTCTAAACTTTATGCTCTGTCTGATGGCGCTGATACAGATTTAGGTCACAGAACAACACCATAACATATAAAAAGCTTACCTTAATTTTTCTTTCACATATAAAACAATAGGAACATTTAAAAAATATCTCTTCTGCAAACTGCACATAAAATGTTTACCAAAATGTTACATTTCTTATTTAAAAACCAAAATATGCAGCACTGATTTGCATAAATATGTACTACAAAAGTCTTATGGTACCTTGGCACGCAACAGTTGCTCTTCCCTCACTGTTTTATTATCCAAGTACAAAGTCAATTCATAAATGTGTTATAGAGTTGACTTCAAGTTTACTAAGTAGTTCATGTTATTTAAATTTTGCAATTGACAGTCCTCCCAAAACAATCTTTAAAAGTACATATGAACCGAGCGTTGGTGGAGCGTGGATTCCCATTAACGCATATAAACCACTTCTACTAGTTCTTCTACTAGTTTCTTATACTACTGAAATAAATTTGACATGACAAGCCTTGAAGGTATAAACCACTAAATAACTTAATCAAATAGAAAGCTAGCAAAAGAATCGGTTCAAATATGAATTTTTGAGTAATAGTATTATTCAAGGTGTGAGACAACACATTGTACAGCATGCTGTATCCAGAAGACCACTTCTTGGTTGTTATAACAAATAAGATATAACACCTCTGACTACAAGTATGTTTATAAAGCTCACATATAAATATCCATGTTTATTTTATTTTTTTTTTCTGACAACAAGCCAAATTTATTTGATTTAAAAAAAGGTGAGTTCAAATACTATATTTGTTTGCTTAAATTTTATAACTGATAGTTGAATCATTTGCTAAAAGTTATAGCTTAGGTGCAATATAAGATGATAATACAAAATATAATATAGAAATTTTTATGGGTAGATCGCCCAATTTTCATGTAAAAGAAATTGAAGAATGAAATCCTTATAAATATACAAAAACATTATTTTAACTTTTAAATTGTTCTACATCTCAGAAAAGTTAAATAAATATCCTTTGCTGATAGGTGAATATACAAAGCATAAGACCTTACCCAATTCTTTAACTTTATCCTTCTTGTCCTTGGGCCTGTCTATACATGGGAAGCCTCCACAATCCTTGAAGCACAGCTGTTTGTTGAGGTACAGAAAGAAGACGAGCAGCAGCAGCATAAAACACACCACAGCACCCAGGAATGCATAGGCTTCGATTGGGACTAAAATAAATATATTAAAATAATATTAAATTAAAAAAACACATGCTACCTATATAGATAGAGCATAAAAAGATAAAACGGATTATATAATCATGTTCTGAGATACATATCATATGAAATTGTTTAGTGGTTACATAATATGGTCTCGAGCAGATAAATACAGGTTGCCACCTATATATAGTAATACAAATAAGTTAGTCATGAACCTGCTTTATTTTTTATTCTAATACCAAAAGGGTAGAGAAGACTGAGACATAAGATATATTACATACACCCCCACTCAGTACACATGAAAGAATCATCTGTCAAGTTAATATGCCACAGTACAAGTACAATACAACACTCACAAGGTGAATGTGACATCCATTTGTGCTTCACACTTTTTAATGTATGTTTGTAGTGTTTGATTATAAACACACACACACACACACACACTCACACTTCTATACACTTCTTTGGTTTATATTGTTTCTACTTGTAATTTGAATAGTTTTGATGATTTGGGTTGTACTGCAATTGAAATATTCGTGCTTGATACACACCTCAAACCAGTTTCATGTTGTACTCTTAATGTACCATGTTCCTTGGTTGACCTGTTCACATACCAGCATTCACCCATAACTTTTCAATGGGACATTTAATATATTGAATTCTATAACAGCACAAAGCCTGCCTGGCATTGGACAGTGTAGATATGTGAGTTCAATGCAACACGATCACTATCATCCTCAGGGCACGACCTCAGGGCTGAATTTACATGTCCTTCTTTTTTTTTTTTTATGTATTGTTATCATTACAGTGTATAACCCTTCTTCTACATCAAGCACTGCAGTAACAATATCATTCTGGTTTTTGGGTTATTATTTCTGTCATGATTCTTCAGAATGTGAGTTATTTTCACTATCATCCTCGTGGCACGACCCCAAGAATGAGTTTACATGTCCATCTTATTTTCTTCAAGTTGTCATTACAATCTAGAACCCTTCTACATCAAATAATACAGAAACATCATTCTGCATGGTTTCTGGGTTATTATTTCTATCCTAGCATAATTTTTCAGAATTTGAGTTATTTGCTCTACCTCTAGGAACTCACCATTTTGACTGATGATGTTGAAAAAAAAAAAGCCCACAGGCTGGAAACAACAGGCTCCAATCTGGGTAAAATTTAATCTAGGTTCACTAAGGTTTCATGGTAAATGGTAAACTTTTTCAGAAAACGAACCCCTGTGAAATTGCTGGTTACAGGCCTGAAAAAGTAGCACCTTACCTGTCATTCCAATGAATCTGTGGAACAGACACACATCTATCTAGGTGCTGAATTCGTGTAATGAACCGCCCGTATATTTTCAACTGTGAATGTTCATACATAGATAATTGAATTCTGTTTACACAAGTTTCTTGTAATGAGTCACATTGCATTTGTGTTTTGTCAGGCCTGCAAGTTTGTTTAAAATCTTGTGTTATTTCTTTATTTATCTGTCCTCTCACATTCAAATGTCTCTGTCATTAAATATAAGCAACACATTAAGTCAATTTTTTCTGTGGTAAATGTGATAGTTAACTTTCTTGATCAACAACTTCCCATCAGACAAGGAGTGAAAAGTATTATAACTGCAGTAATCTTTTCTTCGTACAACAAACCATATTGTTAGACAGATACAATTACACGAGTTATTAAACTCTCTAACAGTTTTATCATTTCTTCAGGCCCCTTCACACATGGCACCATGACAGGTAAGGGGTCAATCTAGAACTACGTAACCTGATATTTTAGACAAATATTACCAAAGAATCAGTTGCAAAAATTTATTTAATGATATTCGAAAAACTTGGCAATTTTTTCTTCATTTAATTGCCATACCAACACTTATTCATAGAGGATACCACTGCAAGCAACAATACATTTGAAAAGTGAATTATGACAAGAATGGCAGCACTGACCAAGGTGTTTATGTGCATACAGTAAGCATATGCCTATCACACCACTGATCATTTCCAAATACAATACAAAGTATCCGACAAAACCCTTTAATTTGATTATTCTAATGTAATATCCTGTACAGTCTTCCTGTACAAGATATTAAAAGCCAAAAGTCTCTATTGCAATCTGCCAAACCCTGTGAAGAATTCTAAACAGGTCCAGAACTCAGCAGTCAACTCAGTAGCATTTATCAGGTCTCAATTTGACTGCCAGATGATAAGAACAAGATAGGGAATATCCAGTGATTTAAGTGCCATTTAAACAATATAATTAACCAAATTTTTTTAGAAGTATCCTTGAGTACATGGGTAATCTACTAAGAATAATGTTTTTGGACGTAACTGTAATTCCTTGTTAAACAAATTAAGAAATGCATCAGTCGTGTTGCCACATTAAAAACCATAAGAAGTTTTAAGTTAAACTTGATGCGAGCGCTCTATCAGGACCACTTTCCCTGACTGGGTTTCAACGCAGGCCTACAAAAAAGAAGATCTGTTGAGGATTGTTCCCCAGCATTTGAATATCATTCCCCTTCCCATAATGAAAATCATACATTTAAATTCATCCCTCTCTGCTCCTTACCAATTTTGTTCAAGACAGTTCATCAATATCATCAGCAGTTGATTTTCTGATTTTTTTATTTTTAGATAAGAATAGATAAGAAATGTTTAGATAAGAAATGTTTGAAAAATTACAGAGGTTAAAAGAAACTACCAAGGGGTGATATTATACTTTGGAATCGCCCTGGCATGCAAGCTTTACACAACAATTACAGCTAAAGCAAACCCTTTCCAACCAAAACTCCATATCACAACTTTCACTGCTTCGATGGTGTCCTGTGCAACCACCAGCTTGACTGAATCATGTACATTAGTTCACTTCTTTCTTAGCCAGGGGCGGATTTAGGCCTTCTTCTGGGTCTTCCGGAAGACGGTCAGATTTTTAAGTTTACATTGACGGGTATCTAATGTTTTCTGTCGGAAGACGGTCAAAATTGGAGGATGGATTAACAAAGATAATTTAGAAGACTGTCGGAAAATATCTCTGGATCCGCCCCTGTTAGCTGTCTAGGTGTGAAATGGCTTGAGCTCTTGGTTTTTGCCTTAGCTTTAATAAGATCTTCCTATATCACTGTAGCATATCACTTTATCACTATAACACAGACAATATTCTTAACTCTTTCTTTTTATGGGCCAAATTAGAAATTTTGAGCTTTTTGTTATGTAGACAGCTCATCAAATGAAGGCCATAGTACATCCTGATGAAGTATACATTCAGGGACATAATTTGTTCTTTAATCGCAGTTAACCCATATATCATGCAGTTTAGTCACTGATCAAAGAATATGTGATCGTGCCACTGACTTTGGAAATAAGTCTGGGACTTCCTTTGAGGGCCCACGGGATAGGTGTAGCTGTGTTAATGAAAATAATGAAAAGGTCATCTAATCTGATCAAATCTTTGGCTACAGAAATGGCACATTCGTGTATTCAGCAAATGCCAACCTGGGCTTGATTGACTTCCATATCCCATAAATTTTATTTAAAAAATGAACATAGTGTGACTAATCATAAATGTGATAATATGTGTATGATACAAGCTCTCAATGTGGAGTGGATCTACCCTCTACCAAGGCCACGGATTGATTTTTTAATAGAAAAGTTTATAGATCTGTGACCTGGGCTGAGGGTCGAGTGGATAAGTGGGACCTGTAAGGCCACTGCATAGGGCACATACTCAATAAAACTACTGTTCTACATAGATCAATCCAGCTGGGCAGCTGGGGGGGGGGGACTCTTGCTGAATGCCAGCAAATTGACATATTTACACGACTTTTCCAGGCTTTGAAGAAAATACATAAAAACAGATTTTATGAGGATGTTGGAAACAAGATTTTTTCTCTTTAAATAATAATTTCAAAGTTTTCACTGTAAGACACATTGACATATCTTAGCTTTAACAGTGGCAACTGAACACTTTCATTTTTAACTTATTAGTACATTTGGCACTACATCATAATGCATCACACTTCTAGAATAAAGTATTACTATGCCACTTTGCTGACAATGTGGTGATAGCATATGGAAAATAATATAACAGAACCATCCCTAACTGGATATGTATGTGATGTTTTATGTAATACTGGTATATGACTGGAGACAGGCTAGATTTATTTTTAGTCACATTAACAAATTAAACCAATGATTAATCAACAAAGCATACATATATTGGAAAACAAAACTTCAACCCCAAAAAGTAATCTTTACAATGTTGCAAAAATAGCATTGTGCTAAAAGACCTGTGTGTGTGTGGTTGTGTGTGTGGTTGTGTGTGTGTGTGTGTGTGTGTGTACTGTATGCGTGTTATCATTTTCAATAAATTACATTGCTATTTAACCTAGCTCCTGCAGTGGAAGGCTGTTACATGTTATCTATTGTTCATAAATAAGATATAGGCAGTAACTTCCTAATATCATATTGTTCCTTAATTGCACTGACACATATCATGTCATCAACAGGAGACTACGTAATCACAGAAAAAAAAGGGGATCTTCTGTTAAAAAGTCTGCCAAAAAGTGTCAAACTCCAAACACAAACCACACTAGTTTTTCTGAACATTTCATAACCTCAAAAATTTTAATCAATTAAAGTTATACATGATATTTATTTACAAAATTTCTGACCAAACTCAGTATTAAGAAACATCTAATCTTGTTGATCAGATATAATAATGTTATATTTCTTTAAATTTTGTTTATTGCTGTAGTTTGTTCTCGGCGTATTCTGCCTGGTAAAAATTCTCCAATACCTATTATCGTCACTTAACATGTAACACATCCATTAGGTGCCAGGATTTCTGACACACCATGTATTAATCTTTTCTGTCTGCAATGCACAAAAAATTGATTACAGCCTTTTTCATTATTTATTCATGTCCTTTTTAAAGGCATATTTTTCCCACTGACCTGCATACAGAATGCAATTACTGTGAAAAAACAAAATTTGTAATTTTATACTTTATCAAAAGAGAGTCAATTTCTAAGCATTCCTGTTATAATACAACTAAGAATAGAAACCCTAGAAACCCTAGTACAACATTTTCACATGCCAACATGACCTTAAGAAAACTGACTGCCAATTTTAAATGTTTTGTAACCTTTATTATCATCCAGATATCAAAAATGAGGTTTTTCCTGAATCTAATTATTCAATAATGTATCAATCTTTGAGCTGATGTAAAACAATAGAAATCTCCTTGAAAAATATAAAATATAGGCGTTTATATTTCTTGTTGCAATGTGTAAACATAGGCAACTCAAAGCTTTAATCATCAATTTAACACCGTTCTATTTTGATGTGAGATAAATCGCTATGGAGCATAACTTCATCCCTGAACAAGATTTTATCACAAAAATGGGCAGAGTTGACCACAAGTGTATAGGCTACGATCCCGTGTCAATTTGGTTTACACGTTTTTGTTCTGGAGTCATGGGCCCCTGATTACAGATTTTCATTAAACAAAGACAATATTTTGCTTTATCAACAATAAAATCTGAACTAAGGCATTTAAGAGAAATCGCTGGCATGGTTTTGAAGTACTCAATGGTGTCATTAAATTGGCGTTAAAACGGTGTTCATGGGTGCTCAGGTAAAGGAGAAATTTGAGAAAATGATTTTTTCAATATTATCCTAAAATCGCAATTATGATGTCACCCATAAGACGTCATGTATGAAAATGTTAATTAATTTAGTCGATGAACACTGAAGGTTTATCTGTTATCCAAAAGAATGTATGCAAGGCAGTAATTAACTTGTTTTGGTGAATGGTAACAGTATCCTTATGCATGAAGAGTACTTTAAACACAATACTTGTGATATTTGTTGGAAAAATAGCCAATTCTAAAAAAGCTTATCCACTGAAAATAGGATATTCCATCTCTAAGGCAAAGAGTAATCTGATTTCAGTAAGTGAATAAAACCAAAGCAAAAAATATAATCTCTGTTTTCTTAGGTAGTTAGTGCCATAAAACACAATAATTGTGAAGATTCCTGGAAAAATAGCTAATTCTAAAATAGTTATCTTAGTTGCATCATCATTGAAAATGTGATGTGCATTCTCTGGGGCTAAGAGTAAACTGATTTCTAGTAAAGTGAATATCACTATACTAGAGGCAACAAATATAAATATTTGTTTTCTTGAGTGAGTTATACTTTATTAAAAAAAACTTTTTGACTAAAATAAGATTGTCTTACTTCAGCGACAGGATATCCTTTTCTATGCATTTTCCTTTCCCCCTTTTTCCTTTATTCCTTTCTTCCATTTTCTCCATTGACTCTATCTACCATTTCTGACAGAGTTACATCACCATTCAGAAAAGACTACTCCAAGAGATCAAGAGACAAATTTGAGACAGTGGCAAATCACTTAAGTTATCAAAATCTCCTTACCCTGAAAACTATACTTGACAAATGTCTCCTCTGTCTGAGTAGGAAGAGAAGTCTCCATTAAAATGTCATCAGCCATCACCTCTGTGTCATTCTCACTCCTTAGTGACAGATTGGAGAAAAGTTCATGTGTCCAATTCATCCTGCTGCTGTCCTTTTCTATCAGTCTTAGTGCAATTTTTCAGCAGATTTTACCTTAATCTACACCATGAAATCTCACTAAAGTCCACTTGGTGCCAATGGGCAAAGCGGATTCAACATTGCATCCTCCTATTTTTGTTGCTTTCCACTCAGTTCTCAATGGAATCAATTTTTCAATAATGATAAAGTGAGAAGCATTCCTTACGCCTCTCACTCCGGATGGATGTAAAAACGTATGTGGTAATGTGAAACAAGTGCCACCGCATTGTTTCAAGTTCACTCTTTGCAAAGTAATTCCAGTGAAATCCCACAAAATGTTAAGGAAGTTAGATCAATAAGTTATTTGGATCTGACCACACAGTGTCTAGGAAACTCTCTAGACAATTGTCATCCAATAACAAAACAATTTAGAGATTCAATACACTGTCAAAAGAAGATTAGCGCAGATGTTTACACCTACCAGTTTCACTCGTTACCACACACTAGATTCTATTTTGTGACCATGCTTATTAATAAGATATATAATTGTCAATACCTAACATTATGCTGGTTGGAATATGTACTTCAAATTTCTTTTGTATTTGGTAGATAATACTGGAATAATACCAAAACTACCATTATGAAAACAATTTTTCCAACTGCTAATTTGCAGGCATATCGACATATATTCCCACAAGTTCAGTGGAAGAATAAATCCACTTGGCAAAAGATAAAAAAATAATTTAATAAAAAACATTTATGACAATAACTTCATACTTCCTTCCTTCTTCAGGCTATACCTCAGATGACACACACACACACACACACACACACACACACACACTGTATGTTATAATCCATGGCAAATCCTGTTTTCACCAATGGGAGGTGTAGTAATACAATTACTGTATCTATTATCAATTTATTAAGTCTCTCTACTTTATATCTATATATACCAGGAAGCCAGTGAAGGGGCATGTATTGATTATTGTCATCAACTGCACACTCAATGGAATGGGAGTTCAAAATTTTGTGAACAGCCAAAGTCTTTGTTTTTTTTTCTGTAAAATAATATAAATATTGTATTAAAATTTTCATAACAAAAAAACTCTATTATTCAACAGCAAACATTCCCCCTAAAATTACTTTTAAAATGAGAAATATAAAAAAGTTGTGAAATAAAGTACGTAAATATTTCATAGACCTTAGTCCGGGTCCCTTTCTTTTAGCCATCACTGTTACTCCTCTCCATCAAACCCTTTCCCTTCTGCATATTTTCAGCCAGTTTAAATAATAACAATTTATCTCTCAGAAGTTAAGATATGCCATGGGACAAAATCCTCATCTTCTTTTTTCTATGAGATACAGAGTAGTAATGATTAAAAAAAACGAAGTACATAAAGATGTGTTTTTGGAATGATAAAAAGCTTCTGAATACCCAGTAGCAAAAAAATAAGCTGGAAACAGATCGACAACCACACTGGGGCAAAATAAATCTAAATAAATTTGGTTTGGCCTCTGGAGAGCACAAATAACATAATTGCATGAGACAAAGCCATTGCCCCTCATGTTCCTGCACACATGATGGCAGAGTTCTTCAGTCAAGTGTCACAGCACAAAATGCATCAGCTGTGTCATCTTAAATGTACAAGCACAACCTTCATGTTACAGAAGGCAAATATCAAGGCCAAATCAAAGTGAATTTTGCAATTAATTAACATCAAATGAATTAAACATTTTTAATGAGATTCTATACATGACGCTAAATGGAGGGATGTCTTTATTATGATTACACAAAATACGCAAATGGTGTTTTGAAATTTCTGGTAAATATGACTGTACAGTATATTAAACTGAAATTACAATTTTAATTCTAATTTAAAAATACAAATTAATGCCCTTTTTGAAGATGAAATTTTCCACTCTTGTCTTTGGGTTTGAAAGTACAATATGGAACTACCTGTGATCACTGTTGATGTACATACTGTTATAATAGATTATTGTTTCACTTTTTAAAACATTTAGTCTAACCACATCTAAAGTAACCTAAAATTGCAACAAATCACAAATGGCAAATTCATATACCACAAAACCACACAAGAAAGAAACAACACCCACTGCTTCACTCGGCCCACTAGAGCTTCGGGAGGCGGACAAAATATAATGAAATTAAAGGCCTACAGATTTCCGAGTTTTTGTCCCTTCAGTGTACAATATGGGATTAAATTGAAATGAAATTGAATATATAATATCCCTTCATCCAATACACATGCTCTTTTCAGCCATTAGCCTATCTAAGCCAACTTGTGCAGTAAAGCACAGCAGTATCAATGTAACACAGTCAATCAATGGAAAGGCAGATGACACCATTAATCAAGGAGAACCCAGGAGAAACATTGAAAAGAGATTCAAAATCCATAATAGCTAGCTGGACTTGCATCTCTGTGTTTCTATCTTGTGCAGATTAAGTAGTGTCTCTTCATGGTCATCAGAATTCAATAAAACAACAACATTGCACCCAGTAGGTATACCAACGTTTTAATCTTCTTTATTATATATTTTTTTATTTCTATCTGTTTATTCATCTATCCATACAGGCTATTATTATTATTATTATTATTATCCATTTATCTTATTTATTACTTTTATACATATAAATATATATATTTATAGAACCCTCATTTTTTACTTGTCTTGTGTTAAATTATCTTCAGTCTCTATCTTGGACCCATCATAATTTGCCCAAGGTTTTACAAAAAAAGAGGTTCTACTTCACATT